ACTTTTGGCACCGTACGCTTTAACTTCTGTTTAACTAACCTTCTCATTTTTGTGTAGTTCCCCTTTCTGAAATTAAATGCTACAGTGTTGGGCTGCTGTGGTGTTTTTCCTGCCACAGGGGTATTAAATTTAATTATATTATGGTCACTATTACCAAGCAGTCCAGCTATATCACCTCTTGGACCAGATCCTGTGCTCCACTTAGGACTAAATCAAGAATTGCCTCTCCTCTGGTGGGTTCCAGGACCAGCTCCTCCAAGAAGCAGTCATTTAAGGTGTCAAGAAACTTTATCTCTGCATCCCGTCCTGAGGTGACATGTACCCAGTCAATATGGGGATAACTGAAATCCCCTATTATTATTATTGAGTTTTTTATTTTAATAGCTTCTCTAATCAGCCTGAGCATTTCACAATCACTATCACCATCACTGTTCCCTCTAAGCTGTGTGCGTGCGCATGTACACAGATCCTAACCCCAGCGCACACGGCAAAATACCGCATGCACAAAATTTTGCACAGAAGCACAACAATTTGCATAGAAGAAATTTTTAGCACACACAGCCTGTCAAACATTTGCACAGGAGAAATTTTTGGCGCACATGGCCTGACAAAAATTAGAGGGAACACTGGTTTCAGAGGAACAGCCGTGTTAGTCTGTATTCGCAAAAAGAAAAGGAGTACTTGTGGCACCTTAGAGACTAACCAATTTATTTGAGCATGAGCTTTCGTGAGCCACAGCTCACTTCATCAGATGTGTACCGTGGAAACTGCAGCAGACTTTATATACACACAGAGAATATGAAACAATACCTCCTCCCACCCCACTGTCCTGCTGGTAATAGCTTATCTAAAGTGATCAGCAGGTGGGCCATTTCCAGCACAAATCCAGGTTTTCTCACCCTCCACCCCCCCACACAAATTGGGCTAGCACCAGCAGGAGAGTGAATTTGTGTGGGGGGGTGGAGGGTGAGAAAACCTGGATTTGTGCTGGAAATGGCCCACCTGCTGATCACTTTAGATAAGCTATTACCAGCAGGACAGTGGGGTGGGAGGAGGTATTGTTTCATATTCTCTGTGTGTATATAAAGTCTGCTGCAGTTTCCACGGTACACATCTGATGAAGTGAGCTGTGGCTCACGAAAGCTCATGCTCAAATAAATTGGTTAGTCTCTAAGGTGCCACAAGTACTCCTTTTCTTAGAGGGAACACTGATCACCATCCTGGTCAGGTGGTCGGTAATATATCCCTACTGCTATACTCCTATTATTAGAGCACAGAATTTCTAGCCAGAGAGATTCTATGGGACAGTTTGATTCATTTATGATTTTTACTTCATTTGATTGTATGCTCTCTTTCACATATAATGCCACTCCCCCACCAGCACGACCTTCCAATATATTTTGTACTCTTTTATATTTTGTATATTTTGAAAGAGAAAGACAATAAAGATAGAACATATAATAATGCCTCTATATAAATCAACAGTATGCCCACACCTTGACTACTATGTGCAGTTGTGGTCACCTCCTTCCACAAACAGTACATTAGAATTGGAAAAGACACAGAGAAGGGCAACAAAGTGATTGGGGTATGGAACAGCTTCCATATGAGGAGAGAATAAAAACTGGGGACGTTAATCTTAGGAAAGAGTCAACTAATGGGGGATATGATCAAGGTCTATAAAATCACATGGAGGAAATGAATAGGGAATTTACCCCTTCACATAACACAAGAACCAGAGTCACCCAATGAAATTAATTGACAGAAGGTTTAAAAACAAGCATAAGGAAATACTTCATCACAGAACTCTGAGTCAATCTGTGGAGCTCGTTGCCATGGGATATTGGGAAAGCAAAAAGTATAAGCAGGTTAAAAAACCATATATAAGGTTATAGAGAATAGGTCCATCAGTGGCTATTAGACAAGATGGTAAGGGAAGTAACCCTACGCTCTGAGTGTCCCTAAACATCCAACTGCCAGAATCTGGGAGTGGATGACAGTGGATAGATCACTCAATATTTGCCCTCTTCTGTTCGTTCCCTCTGAAGCAAGTGGCACCAGCCACTGCCAGAATATAGGATACTGGGGTAGAGGGACCATTGGTCTGACCAAGTGTGGCCACTTAAATTAGCCTAGATCAAAAAAGGCTGGTTGAATATAAAAATCTTATTTAATGAAATACTCTCAATTTTTCTTGTAGTGTTTATAAGCAAAAATATCAAACTATTTTGTACTTCATGGCCTTTGCTCTTCTTGCCAAAACAAAACAGCTTATTTAGTTTTATGATGGGATAACAGCAGCATGTTGCAGGTCCACTGACAGTTACTGTTGCAATTCCAGCTACTTATCTAATACAAAGGACAATGATCTGAAATTGGAATCATACATTAAAGAACCTACAACTTTTAATACTGTGAAGTTTTTCCAATAAAGCATGTAACTTAACTGCTTAAAAGGAGAACACTTGAATATCAAAAAGCAGCACATTTGCTAAAATAAGCCTTCCGAAACGCAAAGTGAAAAACTGATCAGTGATGCTTCCATAATTAAACATCAGACTATCAGAGAATTTGATTTTCTACGGTGCCATAGACAGAAGTGCCTCACATGGAGATGCACAATCTTTATATTATAGTAATAAAATAATAAATTATCAAGACATAACTTTTCTATACATATTTTCCTTCATTAACTCATCTTTGAATCTGGAGCTTGAGCCTCCCCCAGTGTCCCCAACTACCAGCAGTCATCTGGAATCGTCACACTTCTCTGGTTCCCACAGAATGACTATTTCCAAATCTCTGAACAAGACTAACATTAGCTACTGAGTAATGAAGCAGTAAACAAAGAAATTAAGCATATCAACTATGTCTCATGACTCCCAGACTAATCTCCAATGGAAAAAGGTGCATCTGTGACGATAATTTTACAGTTCAGTCCAGAGTGGGGGAGGAGTTATCAGAGAACAGAAACTAGCAGGTAAGAAGTCTTTCTCCCTCGTAAATCAGCTGCTAGCCCAGTACTGAGGAAATAGTGTATTAAGTTATGAGAGCTACTAATAAATGACAGGAAAGAAGCCCCAAGCTGAACAGACATAGCAAACTTGGAATTATTCCTTTAGAAAAAACAAAAAACAAACCCACAACCTTGGATTTCACACAAAAACCTCCACTTAAGAGAATCCTCCTCCTAAAGGAAGCATTAGAAGAGAAAAGCAAATCCAATTTGCAACTTGTAGTGGACATGTGAAGTAAAGTCCAGCTTGCGCCTATGCAGACTGCTTCTTCCACCAATAATACGAAGGCTTGAGTGTGCCAGGAGAAGGCTGCTGTACCTACAGTGAGCCAAGTCTAGAGCAAATCACCCTTTTCGGTGTAAGGGTCTCAGATTAAATGCCATATAGCAACACTAGTCTTATAGGTTTCAGAGTAACAGCCGTGTTAGTCTGTATTCGCAAGAAAAGAAGTACTTGTAGCACCTTCGAGACTAACCAATTTATTTGAGCATAAGCTTTCGTGAGCTACAGCTCACTTCATCGGGTGCATACTGTGGAAAGTGTAGAAGATCTTTTTATACACACAAAGCATGAAAAAATACCTCCCCCCACCCCACCAGCAGGAGAGTTGGGTGGGGGGAGGTATTTTTTCATGCTTTGTGTGTACTAAAAGATCTACACTTTCCACAGTATGCACCCGATGAAGTGAGCTGTAGCTCACGAAAGCTTATGCTCAAATAAATTGGTTAGTCTCTAAGGTGCCACAAGTACTCCTTTTCTTTTTACTAGTCTTATAGTGCTCCCATCTCAAACTTCTTGGGTGAGCTGAGGGCCTATGAATACCCCCTTGTTTTTCTAAGTTTTTTTTCTTTTGACTATTCAAAAAAAGTTTAATTTTAGAACAATAAAGACACCCATACCTAGATTCCAAAAACCATGTCTAGTATTAAAAATTACCAAATCAAATACAGATCTCAGTATGCTCACTACTTCTTCCAATCACCAGCTTTATGACATAACCATGGCCTGCAATATAGTTTGTTTCTCTTTCCTCCTGCCGGCAATAAAAAAATTTCATATTAGAAAGTCAGGTATTGGTCACCTTTGAAGACCCTATGGCCAACTAGAGAACTGGCAGGTTTATGACAGACTCCAGAAATTAAACCTGATAAGAGAGGGGATGTGATTATTATTCACAGTGATTTAAGCAATGGTGTTTAACTTAAATGAGGACTCAGGAAGTTTCCAGTACGCAACTGTGTCACCTGTGAAGTGACCCCACAAAACACAAGACAAGAGCCGACATTCTGAATATTTAAATTTAAAGAACAAAACAGAATCTAATTTAAACTTTTCTGGACTTCTTTATTCATTGTATGGCGGCCAAAATAACCCATCAATAAATTACTTGAAATGAAAAACTGTGTTTGACAATTATAAAACAAAACCCGCTTTTTTTGCCTCTGATATTGTAATCAATGGGGCTACTCATAGTAGTAAAGTTAAGCAATTGCCTAGTGTTTGCAATACTAGGGTCTTAGCTCTGATGAAGGCTAAGTTCACATTTCTGGAATCATCGTATGTATTTCTGTATTTAACTTGCTCACAAGCAAAACTAGCAGAATTAATATTTATACTTTGTATTGCAGTGGGGGCCTCATTGTGCACGGTGCTGTACAAAGGGATAGTAAGAAAGAACATGCTCCAAATCACTTAAAACATTCTATTTTTAAATTATACATGATAAATTCCTGTTTTTTTCTTTCACTCTGTTCTTTTAAATTAACAGCAGAGTGGATAAAAATTGATTTTTTAAATAAATCAATTTTTGTATTTAATTTAAATATATTTTTCTTTTAAAAATAAACTACTTGAAATTAAATTTGAAATTAGGACAACCTTTAAAGCCTAAATTTAGTATAATCTATTAAAAGAATCTGAATTAAAAAGTAATATTCAAACAGTACATGCTTTCTACTGCCATTTTTAAGTCAGACCACTAACCTGGAGGAAGTCACCGGCTGGGCATCTGGAATCAGAATTTGTTGAAGTGCAAGAACAGCTTTTGATCGCAGAAGCCTCCTATGCAAATGCAGAGAGAATATTTTCTTCATTTCCATTTATTCAACTACTTCAGTTCAGTGATTAGTTTATTCAAAGTTGAGAAATTGATTAGCAGTTGAATTAGAAGCAGGAAAACTTGCTGTCCACTTCCCATTCTAAAGATGGGAAGTAGTACAGAGAGAAGAGAGCTACTAGTTCTAAAAACATAAAGGACACGGTGATTATAAATAATACTTTCTTTATTTAATAAACCAATTTTAAATGAAAAACATGTTTTGATAAAACATGAGAAAAAATACACATCTAACACATCAGGCAGTGTTATTTAACTAAATTTTAAAATGCTGGTTTTGCGCATTTTAATTGAATTCCAGTTTTCATTAAATAATCATTTATATCAAGGTTTCCTGCTTGCCAATTTAAATCATGATTAAGATCAGTGATTTAAGTCAGTTCACTCAGAATAGTAAACCTCATTCCTTGACCAACCCTGCCCTTCCCCCCCCACACACAGAGTGAGTGTCAGTCACTTCGCAATGTCGTGGGAGAAAAAAGTCCACAGTGGGTGATGACAATAGTGTACTGTGAGGTATCCATGTCTAGTTACATAGTCCATAATCACCCGAACAGAATGGTTGTCTAGTTAGATTAATTTACAGATGTTAAAAGAAACTGACACACTGTAGGCAGGTGTCAAGAGCTGAAATACTACATGTCATGTAAGGTTTTAAGACACAGGAAATACTAATACAAAAGTAATTCATCAGAAAGTATGGATCTGTAGTTTCAGGACTATCTTGTTCCTTGGATTACTAAGAAATCAATTTAATTCTCGTGAACTACAGTCATTCCTTAAAAATGTCTTAGACATTCCAAGCTAAATGGATATTGCATAACCACTACCCGCTATTCTGTGTATTATTTATTTAATATAAAACCCCTAGGTCTATTTATACAATATTCATACACAATTGTTTGATTCTTTTAAGATACACTAAACTCAATCCAGACAGCACACATTTATTTTAAACAAAGTATTTATTATAAGTAAGGCTATGATTTAGTCATGGTACTTTTAGTAAAAGTCATGGGCAGGTCACGGACAATAAACAGAAAGTCACGGCCCATGACCTGTCCATGACTTTTACTATATAAATACCCCTGACTTCGGTGCTCTGGGGTGGGGGACATCCTGTGGACACTGCTGCTGCTCAGGGACGGGGAGAGTGGAGGGCGTTCTGGCTGCTGCTCTGCTCGGGAGGGGAGAGGCCACCTGGGGTCCCACTGCTGCTGCTTCTCCCGGACCATTGCTCTGGGGCAGTGCCTGGCACCAGCTGCCTGGGGCCAACCAGTCAGTCGAACCAGCCACTGCAGAAGTCCCAGAGGTCCCGGAATCCATGACTTCCGTGACCGCCATGAAAGACTTGCAGCCTTAATTATAAGCCCATCTCTATAGAGATTTTTTTTCTTCATTGTGTATTTCGCAGAATTCAGCCAGAGATATAGTGACACTCCAGTCACAAGGCCAAGGTTTCTCTTATCTCACTTTTCTAAGTTCGGACATACGTAACACAGTTAGCTTGAATGTCATGGTGTAACACTTTAACAAGTCACAATTGACTTGGTGTATGAAATGTTCTCATTCAGCAAAAATGTTCTCGATAGCTCACCAGAAAGCAAGAGTCATAAAACCTACTTAACATTTAAAACCCAATAACCCTGAAAGCCTTTGGAGAGTATTTTTTCAGTTCTATAACCTTACATATTGAAGATCTTCCCCTAGGATCCCTGCAGTCATTACACATGCAAAATTTATTTCAATTATTACATGAATACATAAGACTGCTGATATGTATGTTATATTGCCACCACATGCTGTACATCGGTGGTTCTCAAACTAGGGCCACGCTTGTTCAGGGAAAGCCCCTGGTGGGCCGGGCCAGTTTGTTTACCTGTCGCGTCTGCAGGTTCAGCCGATTGTGGCTCCCACTGACTGCGGTTCGCTGCTCCAGGCCAATGGGGGCTGCGGGAAAGGCGGCCAGCACATCCCTCGGCCCGCACTGCATCCCGCAGCCCCCACTGGCCTGGAGCGGCGAACCCCGGGCTTCCATTATTTGTTTGAAGTCATCAACTAAATAAGAATTAAAACCTTAAAATAGAATTTCTACTTTGCAAGTTTCCTAAATATCAAAGATGAACTACACAGAAAAGAAATACAGTAATACTATTAATGTGCATATAATATCAGTAATTAAATCTAGTCATGTTTTCAATCAGCAGTTTTCTAATATAGGCCATTTACACTCAATATCCTTACTAGTATTAAAACCCTTACAACCCTTCCCCACAACTGCTGGTTTTATAAAACAAACAAGCATAGCCCAAAGCTGTATCAATCTTATTATATAAGGCCTCTTGGTCTTAGAAGTGTTATCGTCCTTATAGTAACGACATGGTACTGTGAGGCAACATAACTCAAGAGAATAAAAGGAAAATGTACCAATAGGATCATTCAAGTTAGTGACAGAAATTGTTTAAATAATCAGTCCAGTCTCTTGCAGAATCAAGCACACTCTCCTAAAAGTGGGCATGACAAACTACAAGAGCAGCCCAAGGTCTGGAAACCATGCCTTGCTGCAAGAGGCTACCAGAAGCGCCATCTATTTAGTTCATCCATTAGAAGCTTAATGTGACTTGATGATAATTTACAACTTCTCACATGGAGAGAAGATTTCTGATAGTAGAGAGCTCTTTACCCTAGTAGACAGAGGGCATAATGATCCAATGGCTGGAAGCTGAAGCTAGACAAATCTGGCTTGAAAATAAGTGCAATTTTGTAAACAGGGAAGGTGATTAACTCTTGGACCAGCTGATCTACTGATGTGGCAGATTCCTCATCACTTAAAGACTATAAATCAAGACTGGATGTCTTTCTAAAAAATATGCTCACCCAGAAATGATAGGCTTGATGGAGAAATTACGGGTGAAGTTCTGTAGGCTGTGTCATGCTCAACATCAGATTAGATGATCCAATAGGTCCCTTCTTGCCTTAAAAAAAACCCAATCTATTAACCTAGGAATAAAAAGGCCTACGGAAGGCAGCGTGGAAGGAGCCAATCCAGCAAATCTTTGAACGAAGGTTTGTAGCACAGGGTGCCAAATTTGTTATAAAGCTGATGTCGAAGAGAAATGATCCTCTGATTTGAACTGTGAGACAGCATTTGGTCAAACAGATCTTCTTATGAACATATCATTTCATTTCACTGGAAAAAACAACAGACAACTATCTGTAATATGGAAGATGTGAGAACATTGTTCTATATTGGGATCTCATGCAATATTAATAACTCATATGCTTCAAGCAGATAAATGTATACGCCTAAGGCTTTATGTGCCAACAATTCTCTATAGCTCTATTTTTTTTCCTGTGGTGGTGGGGGGGAAAGGGAGGAGAAGTAGACACCTGATGACAGACAAAACGTGCTGCCTTCAAAACCTGTAAATAAATCCTGACAGAAGTTTTCTTGGTGACACTTGTGCCCATCTGACATTAAGATTGTGATTTTTTTTTAAAGTTCCATAGCAAACACACACACCATGTATTAAAGTCTCTCAAGAACTAAAACATTAAGAGCTTCTCTCCTTTGTCCTAGCTCTTGAGTGGTTCTAAAACCTCAAAGATTAAATGTCTGTCTTTTTTACCACAAGCTCTGAAGCTGCTCCAAAACCTGAAATAATATGAAAAGATCGGTTTGAGTGATTTCCTCTGAAGAAAGGATGCTTGTAATTCCCATCCACCTTTGAGCAGCAGAGTCCGAAGAAGCTCAGATAATACCGGGCAACATAATTTTCTTCTAAATTTCATTAGACATCAGAAGTACTTCTCCTCTGCTGTATTAACAGCAATTATTACTCAAGAGTTATTTTATAAGTCCATATTCAGACATTTTAAAGCCACAGGGTAAAATCAGATTATCTATTCTAACTTCCTGAATATCACAAATTAGAATTTCACCCAGTTACTACCCTTGTAGTGTGCCCAGTTACCCGAGCTTTAGCTAACATCACCAGATAATTTGTGAAGTGTTGAAAAAATGAGTTATATAGATTAAAGGCATACTGAAGTTCCTCAAACAAACGTTTACAATCCAGAAATTAACACAAACATTTATCATTTATGTAGTACCGTAAGAACACACTCCAGGTTCCTAAGGCCAATCTGCACTAATGTAGATATAGATCCCTCCTAGCATAGATGCAGGTTGGAATAGTTTATACCACTTCCCTAAATGAAACAAGCCATACTGGCAAATAGCACCTTTCTTGCCAGTGCAACTGATTCTCCAGTAGGGCATCTGCCAGTAGAGAAATGTTATTTAAAAAAACAAACAAAAACTACACATACTTACACTCCACTAACCAATATTACTGTACTAGCCCAAGTTTCTACTGTAGACCTGCCCTAATACTGAACACACAATGTAGCCAAAACCCTCATTTAGTTATCTAAAGAGTGGCACCTTCAGACTCCCCATGGCTGGTAATGCAGCTCTGCACTGTTTGGTGCTGAAAGTATTAGCACCTGTTGTAAGGGAAACAGAATCCTGAATCCAAAGTGTGTCAGTTCTCTCAAGATGCAAAATGCACACAATTTCACCAAGTGAGGCATGTGCAGTCCCGGTCCCAATCACTCCCAGCACCAAAATCACAGAACTTCTTTGGTGAACCACTTCCTTAGTTTTCATTGAATGTAGTGGAGACTCTCTTTCAAGGCAAATTTTACAATGTAGCGAGAGGGAGGAGTAGGGCATAGCTACAGTGATCTCCCTGCTCCCAGGAGATGCATTTTATAAATGGAGCCTAATTTATGCCCCCCATCCCTCCTTGGAGAGAACCACATCCAAATCACAAGCAGAACCCAGCCTTTGGAGGAAGGGAGAGCTGTCTCTGCAGCACCATTCCCTCTTGACCTCACCTGGATAATAGTTCTGCAGTGTGACTACAAGAAGAGGGTTGGG